CTCTCTCTCTCTCACACACACACACACACACACACACACACACACATTCTTTTCTCCTTCCCCCTGCATCTCCATTCTTCTCACTCTCTCTCACAGAGATATCATTTTCTCTCGTGCTCCCCTCTTCTTTGCCCTCAAATATCCAGTACCCTCCTCTCCGTACATCTCCTTTCTCTCTTCACTACGTACACAGGCACACACACACATGCATACAAACAACTTTCATCTGCATGTCTAGTATCTTTTTCTCTCTCTTGTCCTCCACATCTCCCTTCCTCTTTGCCCTTGCCTTCTCTCCCGGTCTCCTTTTCCCTCCCTCTCCCTACATGTCCTCTCTCTCCTTCACTACACATAGGCACACACATTCATGCAAACCCAATGGCTGTGTGAGGACGAATGTGTCATTCACAGATGCACCCACGCCCTAAGTGTTGCCTTCCAATAACCTTCATGTTGGGTAGGGATCGGGCAAGGCCAGTTCGCATTTGCCACAGTGCTGACCACGGTGAAATATGCATCTTCAATCAACAAGGATTCTGAAGAAAACTGTGATGATGTAGCCTTCTTCCCTGCATTTTCTGCACTCAGGTTTTCCCTACGTGTTTGCTTCTCAGCCACTCAGTATTTTTCATGGCTTATCCTTTATCCATTGGGAGCAGCTTGAGAAAAATTCAACAGATGAGTATTGACTCTTGAGCAAATAGGAAAGATCTACCAACAGGCCTCGCTCAGGTGGGTACATCCTAAACTGTTGAAAGGCAGACCTGTGTTCGAGTCCAGATGGAACTAGATAAATAAAATCTACCGGATTTCCCAAGGCCGATCAGTTCTACCAAATATCTCAAGGCCATCGCCCCTCGTTTAACAAGACGAAGAAAAAAAAAAAGGATAGGAAAGATCTGGCTGGATCCACTGGTGCTAATGTCATAGGCTTGGGTTGAATACAGAAAAGGGTTTGATTGCTCGATCTTTATGCACCGAACGGCCATCCTAAGCGTGCCCGCTTAATCAGCAAAGTCACCACTCCACCATGACTTGTAAGCCATCCTATGTGGCAAACAGCATGCGACCACAAACAAGCTCTTGGGTAAAGTATGTCAAGCAGAAGAGAAACAAGAGTACAATAGTGAATAGCCTATAGAACTCTGTGCCGATAAATCGTAAAAGGGAATTCTCTACGGCTAATGCCGGACCCACACAACGGGCGAACCCGGACATCTGGCCGGACCTCCGTCCACGTTCTTTGCCGCGCCCGGTTTCGCGACCTGTGCAAAAAAACATGGCCCAAGAGGATTGGTCCCACCAGAGCAATCCAAGCTTTGCATCGTGTTCTCTACGTTGCCACTCTAATGCCTGCATAAGCATCTCAGGTTGTTTTGCCTTTGATGTAGAAGCGACTGACAGGTGGTGGCTAGAGACTGCAGCACGTCTTGCACATATCCCGGTTGCTCTGGCTTCATTGTTCCTCAAGTTTCTTGCAGTAGTTGCTTATAGCACCAGTACATGGCCCCAGCCAAGTTGAGAGTCCGATTGCGCCTCTCCTAAAATTTTGGCGGCTCGCGTGCCGTCGATAAAATAAATCGACAGCGGGCGGCGTCCGAAAGGGGCCCGCAGCCGATGGCCACCATATACTGGTGGTTTAAACCATTTGCAATAACCCGCTCAAATATGTCTATGTTGTCGGCCAAGGGGCCCACCAGCAGGCCACGAAACGGCCCTCAGACCCTACGTCCGACTGTGGGGAACAGAACCCCTGAAATGCGGCTTCAGAGGCCCTGCGCCCGACAGTTGACCGAAGTCAACTGTATGTCGTAATATTGAGGCAACCGAATCAAAGTCTTCACGGACCCAGTCCAGGCCGCCAATCAGACACACACACTTGGTTGTACGCAGGTATCCAGACAGCATTCGGTCCAAGTGGAAGTCTGCAACCATTCGAGATCCAGGCCGTCAGCTGTGAGTCAATCTGAGCGTCTGTACGTGAGAGACCAGAGGCTGGTCAACTTCGTCAACACTATTTATTGACCCTGCCCCTGGGAGTCAACATTCAGTCTTGCCTTGCTGCTTGACACTGGCACGGCGCTGGCTTGGCGCTGGCTGGACGATGGCAAGACGCTGGCTCTACACTGGCATTGTGCGATGACGACGCGAGACTGCTGCTTTGCGTGCTGGCGCCTCTCTGCTCCTGGTGCCAGCTGTCTTCTGGATGCTGACGTGGCACTTGCCACGCTTGCTTTGGCATTGCTGACATGGGCGCATGCCACACTGTCTACGATACAGACTGGGATGCGACAAGGAGGGTGATCAGGATCTGTGGGATTGACTGAGTGAGAGTGGGGAAACTTACCTGTTGTTGCTGTCGACATTCTGCGCTGCAGAGACGTCTCCATGGGAGAACTGTGCCTACGTGGCACTAAAATGTGATCAGATCTCGTCAGGCTCGTTTCTGGGACACTTTGCTGACATGGATGTGGGGGTGACGGCCGAAGGAGGAGTGGGGAATGAGGGTGTTCTGTCTACGTGGACATTGATGGGTACATTCACTTCCACCCTCTAAGTCTAATCTCCCTCCTACCTCCTTCGTCCTATGGTTAGGAGACATTGTATCACATATTACATTTCACGATTATTGGAGACATTTATCAGTGCTGAGTCATCTTGTATTTTGACACTTGGCAAGTTTCCTCCTGACTGGGTTCATTACACGTTGGTTCCCCTAGGGCACCGAAAATCGAACTACCAGCATGGCCAAGAAGATGAAAAATTTTGGGCTTATCGGTAGGAGCGGGGAGCAAGAGCATGCAAACCTCTTCCGCAAGAAATTGCCATCTTAGAATTCTTTCTTTCTTGAGCTTCTAACGTTCTTTCCTCAAACGATCCGCACCAAATCTATACCCTTGATACTCTCCAGATTTTTTCACGCGAAATCGAACACAGGAAACTATAAAACTCGGTGCATTCAAATTTCTGCGCACCACCACCAACCGCCCATGGCCCGTGGTTGACTACCCCCTAACTCCCCCAGCAATGCCGGTCTCACGGGAATGCCATTTTCGAAGCGTCGAGGGAGGTCTAGCTGAACCGCTTGCCCCCCCTGGCTTACCCCCACAAGAGCTTGAGACTCTTGTGCCTAATTAGTTCCTGTCCCTGCTCCTTTTGCTTCTAGCATATATGAGCAAGATCTTCTTAGTAGTTTTCCCTTTGTCCCTCGGCATCGGTGGAGGCAAGGAATCTTCCTAACCTTGAGGTGTCAGCATGAAACCCGCACCACTTCTGAGACCGCCGATTGGTTTTCCCAACCGCGCCCCGGGCTGCACGGAGCCTCCGAGTTTTGCTTGCCGCGACAGAGACTTTCTGCAAGGCTGGGACCGTGTACTAGCAGTTTAAGCCGGGTACAGTAAACTCCCTCTTCGCTCACGCACTAGGCAAAGTCTGATGCTAATCAGTACCATGGCTGTACTTAATCACCAGTTTCTGGCCCAGCTATTTTTTTCAAGCTGGGCCATATAAATGTTGTCACCTCTGCAGGTCGGTGGTCAGGACTGCTATTGACGAAGTGCGGCATGACGTGCGAAGTGGCCTTGACCCCCGAAAGTCGTAGTGCCAACCCAGGGCTGTGACTGGGCCAAATACTGGTGGTTTAATGCCTTACACTAATTAGTGTCTGATGGGTGTATAATCTCTCTCTCTCAATCGAAGAGTCATGTACCGATCCGTGCACAATACCTCCTTGACTAATCCTTACTCTCTTCACACCTACAACCTACTTGATCGATTAATTAACCACTTACTAATCAGACCATAATCGGTGGACGAACTACCGGTAGTCTAACCGCTAATTTGCAAAGACGGACTGTTCCAACCCCAACAGTTGATACCTGACCGACTGCCCAATCAGAAGACACTAGATGCAGACGAAACGTACGACAAGTGGAAAATGATAGTGATTTACAGCAGTTGGGCATCAGCCATCTGTGTTTCTCTCCCTCCTACCTGCTTAACTGAGACCCTACTCCAGGGGAGCCGGGAGGAGGGAAGTTAGGCCAATTCACCCCATACATGGGTGGTTAAGAGGGGGCCAACCCAAAAATGTTATTTACAGATGTGCTGTATTTCTCAAGAATTATTTATCATCCCATCAGAGGGTGATGACTCGACAATTATTCAACGCTCAACAGGACGGCGTGGGCAACCCCCCGGACCTCTCTACTGCACTTGCTGAAGCCGAGTGTGTTCTCTGCATTCATGTGTCCTACTCCCATATCATGTGTTCCACGTGACCATGTGGCCCTTCCCATATCATGGTCACGGGCATCACGCATCTCCCACCAGAACAAGCAGAACTTGGATCATCTTCAAGCTTGAACACCACCACTCGCACCTCACAATTGAGCAATTCGCTTAAGAAGACGATCAGACAAGTAACCAAGGGTTATATTTAGCTTGCTCTCTGCCCCACACGCTATACAGTATATACACCTCTCTGACTGCAGTAGCTGATGACATCATCTGATGACCGGTAAAACATGGTCAGCGCTAAAGCAGTGCAAGCCAGTCGACAAAGACCGAGTCATGCCGCCTAGCGCCAACATGCTACAACCGACAATCACCACAAGCTGCTCTCATCAATCGCACAAACCCTTCTTCACCCCTCCTCCCATTCGCTCTCAACCCCTCAAAGACAATGCCATTCAAAAGCCGATGGCACCACTCCTCATCTCTTGCCACAACAGGTATGTCTCTTCACAGGACAGCACTCCGATACCAAATCACAAGGAAACCTCGCAGGACAAACTCAAATCACAAACACCATGAACTCTCGACCCAAATGCATAGGGTGACAAGAGTAGTAGCAGACACAACAAAAGCTATGATCACAGCAGCACAAGAACAGACGACTTTGAAGTCTCTTTGATGATGAAAGCCCTCTTCTGGCCTCCCAACAATCAATACAACAACATCAGTAACAGTTCTCAGTCATTGCTGGCTCTCTACCGGCAGGGATGACCAGCTACTCTATCATCTACCCTAGCCCAGACTACAGCATAGCACAGAGGCTTAGTGTTCTAGACTGCTCGCACCCATGCCTGCTTGGAAGTAGGCGTCACACTGGAGGTCTTCTTGGGGCCCACCAGGTAAGTCCCTCGCCGACCACTCCACAGCCCTCTACCAGCAGGGCTGACCAGCTACTCTATCATCTACCCTAGCCCAGACTACAGCATAGCACAGCGGCTCAGTGTCGTACACTGCTCGCACCCATGCCTGCTTGAAGTAGACGTCACACTGGAGGTCTTCTTGGTGTCACCAGATAAGTCCCTCGCCGACAACTCCACAGCGTTCGCCTTCCTACAAAGTTCTCTCCGTCTAGCGCCACCTCTTCTCACACCGCCGTGCCTCACAGCAATGGCGCTGGCCTTCTTCCTCAGCCCCACTATGGCTGTTGCTGGCTGGATTTCAGGTGGTGCCCTCCCATGATAGCACTTTTTTCCCCTTGTGCAGGGAATGGTGTGTCTGAACACTGACCAGAAGTGCGAGGAGGACAAATGGGAGGACGAGGAGGAGGGCGAAGGGCAGGTGCTACTGAACATTCGACACGTACCTGGACAGTTCTGTCCACCAGATACATTCCGGCTGATCAAACTGTTTTTACCCCTTGTGCAGGGGCCATGCTAATCCTGTGTTTACGATGAGGAGGACGGATGAGCAACAGGAAGTGGAGTGCGAGGAGGAGGAGGAGGAGGAAGCGGAGGAGGACAAATGGGAGGATGAGCGGGAGGAGGAAGAGTGGGATGAGGCGTGGGAGGAGGGGGAGGATGACAACCGGGAGGAAGAGGAGCTTGGGGGGACTCAGAAGGAAAAAGAGTGGAAGGACAACGAGGGGCACGAGCAGGACAAGGAGGGCGAGGACAACCACCGGGAGGACAAGGAGAAGCAGGACGACAACGAGCGGGAGGATGGCAACCAATGACGATGAGAGCGGGAGGAGGAGGGGGGAGAGTCCCAGAACGAGAAGACGACAGGGGGAGGACGACCACCAGGAAGAGGATGGAGAGGATGACGAGCGGGATGAGAAAGGATGACCAACAAGAGGAAAGGGTGGGAGGAGGACGGGGAAGAAGACAACTGAGAGGAGGGGAGGAGGGGGAGGAGGAGGAGGAGGAGGAGGACAATGACCAGGTTCTTGTGCTCATCCTCCCCCTCCTCCCGCTTCTCCTCCGCCTGTGCGATGACAAGCCGAAGGACGACAAGTGGGAGGAGGCGGAGCAGGAAGAGGAGGA